CTTAACAAAAAAAGTAGTATTCATAATTGATTAAAGGTAACTAAAATATTATTTGAATCCTCATAGTTATTTCATAGATCTAGCTCAAAATACAAATATTTATATATATATATATTTAATGCAGTTCTATGAATTTATTTACTATTGCATAAGAACATGCCATGATTATGATTTCTTCTAATATTTATATTTTGTGCTTATTAGGTTTACAAATTTTACAAATTCCAGTACATAATTTAAGTCCTTTGCCTTTGTTCTAAAACTCCTTTCAGTACATCACTTAGTCTTTTTTATTTCAGGCATTGGGACCATCTTAATTTATATAGTCATTATTTTCTCTATGTGCAGAAAGTTTTCACATAGATTATCTTATCTGATTCTTCTAACAACCCTTTGAAATAGGCAAGTGTACTAATATCCTTAATTGCCAGTTTAAGAACTAGAACCAAGTAAAAGTTCTGGTCCAACCAAGGCTCAAACCTGGATCTTCTGACGTGTTTGCTCTCTCATACATATAAGAGTTTTCTGACAGTTTTGCCATATTGTAGATGTAATGAACAAAACAATGCAGAGTCACGTAACCTGCTAGTACTGTGCAGATGCTGAGAGATTTAGTCTTTCATTTTTGTTGTGTAACTTCTCATAGTTTCACTCATTTTTTTCTCAGTTTCTCAAGAACCAAATAGGAAACAATCTTTTAATTATTTCATGAAAATATTAGGTTCCAATTTGGAAAGACATTTTGATGTTTAAAAAAAGATAGATTTCTAAAGATTATAATTTGTCAGATTGAATTGTTGTCCCTAGTTGTCAAACCCTGATACCTGCCTTCAAGGAACTCACATTTAAGCCGAAGAGAAGGACATAGAACTCCAAGTAACTGTAAATGTAATCTCAGAATTATTTTCCCCATTTACTCAGTTCACTAAATTTGGAAAATAGTACCTTTTATTTTAGGTTTTTTATCTTTATCTAAAACCACCACAGTTCATTGACACATAATGCTTACTAATACACTGCTGAAGAGAATTTCCAGCTTTTTCTGCCCTGCATGTTTGTAACTGGCTGCATGTTTGAGCACAGCTTATCTGTGGGGGAATTTGAAAGGCAAATGAAAGCCATGGAAGTGTTCACCTTTATTTCTTTGGGGCAGTGGCCTCTGGTTTTCTGTCACCTAGTGGGTTTTGCTTTTCTGCTCACTGGGGCTCAAAAGACAGAACCTGTGCTTAGGGACAAGAGAGAGACCAGAATACAAAGCCTCATAAGGGCCTTGATGGAAAGGAGTGCAATACCCAGGTCTACTCACTAATTTAAAATACAGCACATTCTAATACAGGATGGTTCTGTCTCCATTTAAGCTGTCTGGCTGATAATCTGAGAGTTTGTCCTGTAGAATATTGAAACCATAATCCTTTACCAGCTTCTAGGGAGGTTTCTAGATTGAATTTTACAAGGTAAAAAGAAAGGACACTGCCAAAATTCTCAAAAGTGAGAATTCTGCTTAGAAACCTAAATGCTTAGAACCAAGATAATCTGATCATGGCTTCATACTAACTTGGCTTTTCCAAGATGCTGGAGAGAGAGAGAGAGGGAGGGAGGGAGGGAAGGAGGGAGGGAGGAAGGGAGGGAAAGAGAGAAACTGTGTCTGTGTCTCTGTGTCTCTGTGTGTTTGCATTTTTAAGACTCCCCTCTAAGATTGTATGTCAGTTTCTCCTTTGATCCTTAAAACATCTTTGCTATGAGGTTGCATTTAGGAATCTGTCATGCCACGATGACCCGTTACTTATAGAGTTGGGTCACTAAGTAGGAAATACATACAAAAACAAGAATTGAATTGAATTGAAAATTAATTTTGAGAGTTGAAGTGGGTCATTAGTATCTCACATAGCATTGAATTTTTGGGTTATGAGAGACCATGCTCAGTAATATTTTAACATTTTCAATTAAAAGAACAAATGCTCATTAAGGAAAAAATTAGGATTTTAAGAAAAATAGGGGGCAATCACCCACAGTCCCACTGCTGTAGGATAATTACTGCCTGTTACAATTTGGATGCATTTCTTTTCGTAGTGTGTGTACACCTTTATAGCCTGCATTTTTCCCCTAATGCTTAACAGGAGAGAAATAGGCTTTTTAATTTTTATTTGGAGGTATGAAGGTTATTTTTGTTTAACAAAGCAAAATTAAATATTCTTAGTAGTTCTTCAGAGAGACCTTAACCCTGGTGACATAATCCGTTGACTACAATTACCTAAGAATACCACTGAGCCAGGCTCTTGTCCTCAGATGGGAGCCTTGCAATGAATATCACCTCAGAATGTCACCTTGCAATGAAATGAATGCTTCCCCCCACAGTGAGTCATGGTCCAGAGCTGGGAGGCTCTACCAAAAGTTTGAAAGCACAAGAAAGTGCTCCAAGGTGGTAGGTTGCTGACAGAGCTACAAACCCTCAAGTGCCCCTCCTGATGGCCATCTACAATTTGTCTCTGTTTAAAGCCCTAGTTTTGCCTGAATATTATTTCCAATTAAGGAAATCAGGAAGATAAAGAGCTATTAAACTTGAACTTGAAGGTCACATGCAAATTTAAGGAAATGGGAGGTCAGATACCTGACAAGTTCCTGGTAATTTTTGATAGAGGAAGCAAAAAAAATTTTTTTTTTATTTTTCCACTAGAAATATGGCACCACTCCCCAGAGATCAGGGATTACATGTTTTTGGCTCTGAATTATAAGCCATCACTAAAAAATGGGACCATCCAGTTTCACCAATATTGATTGAAAAAGACATCAACTAGATCTTAGAGAAAAACAAAAGTGAATCATCTTTGTCCCTCTAAGGTCTTTTACTCCAGAAGAGGAAGGCAGATGTATATACAAATTGTGATAGTATATACAAAATGTAATAAATATAAAGCAGCCGAGAGAAAAGAAGGTCATTTTGTCTGGCAAGAGAAGAATGCATCACAAAGGAAATAGAAATGGGAAAAATTGTAAAGAGAATTTTATAATGATAGGCAAGGCATGAAAAAACTATAAACATCTCAGTTCACGGTATACTCAGGACTTCACGAGCAGCCGTCTTTCAGTTTTGTTATTTTTTTATTTTTTTTTTAAAGATTTATTTATGCATACAAGAGCTGGGGCACAGGCCAGAGATGCAGGGGGAGGGGTGAGTTGATCCACCAGAGACAGAGTGGGGAGCAGAACAGGCAGACTGACCAAAATACACTGCTGAGGGGAGCAGTGGGCAAGACAGGAGAGGTCTGCCTCGCTATGTGGATTTCTCCGTGGCCAGCCGGGGATCAAACTCGTGCTTCAGAGGCTGCGAATTGCTTCATAGTGCGGTGCTTAACCCCTTGCACCACCAGGGAGGCCCCAGTTTTGTTATTTTTTAAAATAACTGTGGAGAAGATGCAAATAAATATGTGGAGGAAATAAAAATTACCCAGAATTTTGTTATCCAGAGAAAAGTTTTATGACTGTTGTGATGTCTTTTCTTCCTACATAGGGACCAAATTGGAACTGAACAGATTTGAGATATGGGTTCTCTAAGCTTGGCTCCTGGGGAGGTGTTGCTAACATTTTTAACTCCATTCACACTCCTGGGCCTGTGCTCTTTTTCATTTAAAAAAAAATACTGACAAATGGGCATTGTTTCTTTGATAAGTCCATAACGGCAAACCTGTTGAGCTTATATAAATCAGGCCATGCATATTTAGAGGCTTTATACCTTGAATTTAATTCAGTGCTGAATTCAAATGAAGGATACGCGACTCCAAGAAAGAAGAATCCATTTCCTGTTCATGAGCAAACAATTGATGAGTGGGTCTATGTACACTTTCTGTGACATACTTTTTGACTTGAAATGTTACATTTTGTAACATTCAAAGACGGAGGTCTTTCCATTCTCAAATTTAATGTTTATTTAAAAATTCAGATAGTACAGCTAAGAATGTTTTCCCAGCCTTTTTTTTTTTCCCCTGTCTGTGAGGTTTCTTTTTCCTTCCTCCAAAATTATGGTCTTTATGTATCAGTAAATATCAATCAGTATTTTCAATTTTGATTAAAATGCTCTCTAGTTCTTTGCTCTCCCACTAGTCATTATACCAAAAGTGGGTAGTCTGTCTAATTATGTTAGTAAATTTTATTAAAATTTAATGGAAAGGTACACAAGTTGTAAGTGTGTAATGTGAACATTCAAGTAAATACACTTGAAAATCCAACATCCAGATCAAAAAAGCCACATTATGCCCCGTTGTGGTCACTGCCTCCCCAGGGGTAACCACTGTTCTGTTTCCTGTCTCATCTTTTATGTTCACTAAGCTGATGGATAAAAACAATGTCTTGTTTTTGCTTTTTTATGAAGTTACTGCTTAGACTATTTGTAAAATTCATCGTAAGACTCAGTTTTGGAAGGTTTACTCTCCTTCATGAGAGAAATAAATGGAATCTGTTCAAAGTGCAGAATGACTTGCCATATTTGAAAAGGTCAAAGCAAATACCCTACACTGTGACCTTTGTGATACATTATTTTCTCAATAAATATTTGAGCACTGATTTAACTTTTTTTTAAAGGCATCTGCCTTTCTTTAAAATGACAGATTTCATTACCTTCTGCAACTGGAGAACATTGTGTAGAACACCATTAAGGATATGTAACTAGCAGCTGACCTCTGCTGGAAGCTTCTGGTATGATTTGGAGGAAGGAGTTCTAGTTTTTCTTGGTGACTGCTAGCCTAGCATTCAGCTCAAGCCTGCCTGTCTGTAGCTTTTCTTTGCAATTTCTTGGGGTTTTTTGGCTGCGATAGCAAATTTTCCTTAACAAATGTAAGGTTTTTCTGTGTGACTAAGTCTTTGTAAACATTCTCACAGTTGACTGCTAAAATGAAACATTCAAAAACAGTTTGCCAGGTTGTATCTCCTATACAATTCATGAGATTCAATCCTGGAGCTTCACCCCAGAGGAAAGGGATGACTGACTGCTCTCTCTCTCTCTCCAGGAATCGACAAGGAGAACGTTGAACTCTCCCCCACCACTGGGCACTGTAACAGTGGACGAACTCGCCATGGATCCGCAAGCCAAGTGCAGAAACAAAGAAGTGCTGGCAGTTTCAAACGTAATAGCATTAAGAAGATCGTGTGAAGCTTTCTTTCTTTCCTTTTTCAAACAGACTTGACTTTACACGGGCTCTTCACTAGTGACCCCTTCACCACCGTGCTGTGATGCTGCACTTCCTGTTTTACAATGAGCCCATCCAGTCTGCCATGTTGCCAGATGATCAAATCTTGGAAGCATTGCCTAAACTTAATGCTGCTTTTTCTTTAACGTTTTTTTCCTTCTGTTTTTGGCGTGTGTCTGGTTTAAGCAAGTTTTCAAAACAACTGCAAAGACAGTGGGAGATCCAGACACTTGAACTGAGAACATCCTGATTGTGAGCAAGAGGATGAATTCTTGAATCCTGCTACTACTGGCCAGCTATGAAAGCCATTTGCACAGAGCTCTGCCTTCTATTTTTTCCCCTTCATCATACAAAGTAAAGTGTTAGTCTTATTTACACACTTTTCAAGGTAGAAGTTTATGGGAAAAATAATACTATAATCCCAGTATGTTTAATCTGACTTTTAGCTGTGTACTTTTTTTACCTTACAAAACTGAAGGAATGATGGAGGTCAAGCCTCAGTGACTTCATACCATAAAGCCACAGGCAAGGTACTTTGTGGGGGGGGGGGGTGGAGGGACTTAGTATTTTTTAGTGGGTTCTTAAATACTAACACTTGAGTGTTAGCAATAATTACAGGAAAATAAGCATAACCACGTTTTAGCTTAACATTACCAAATTAAAGCTATGGGTTCTGAGGCCTTATCCAAACTAGTTTATTTTTCTCCAGTTGATTATCTTTTGTTCTTTAAATATGCTAAAAGTTGTTGTTTTTTGTTTTTTGTATGCCAAAACTATACTAAGTATAGTAACTGTACATTTTTCTCCTCCTCCTCCTTTCTCCTAAATAATTCTGAGCAGGGTAATCCATGAACAATATGTTGAAAATTGTTCCTAGAAGGTAATTTTCATAGATATTTGCATTAGCTCCATAGCAAAATTAATGGTACGTGATTTTAGAGTAGCTGATGCTTTTATTTTGTTTAATAATTACCCCAACAATATAGAGTATGGTATATATTATCAGGAATTTCTTTGACAAAATGATTCTTAAATGTCTTTAATCTTCTCCCTCCCCTCCAAAAAAATCAGGTTTCTCTTTAACAAGACATTTAGATTCTATCTGATAGAATTGCATGTGATCACTGTGAAAAGCCTGGTCAGCCTACATTAGTGGGACAACAGGGGACCTGAGGGCTGTTGTTCCACTGAGGTGTGGGTTCTCGTGGCCTTGGAATTTCCAGAATAATGCAGATTCATTTTCTTGTGGTACCTGAAGTGTGTAAAATAATTTGACTTCAGTGAGCATATTAGTATCTGGGTGTTCCGATTAAGAACTAAACCATATTTATTGCAAAAAGAGCCCCCTACTCCCAAGTTCCCTTTATGTGTTAAGATGTAACAGCTTTGGAAGGGGAAAGGAAACTGAGGGGAGGGAAGGTTTCCTATAGTGCTATTTTATGAGTGGATTTCAGTAAATTAAATTCCACAGCTAAATCAATAAATAATGGTACTTTTAAGTGTTCTGATTTTAATAATATAACACATTTCACATTTACCCACACAATAACAATGTAATATGTTAATGTAAATAAAATTGCTTTTGATATTCAGAAATAACAAGAATTTAATTTTGTTAATTTGTTTACAGTCTTGGGAAAAGAACCGTTTGCCAAAATAAAAGGAAAAGAAATTCTTAGTATAATAATTATTTTGACATAGAATTGTTGGAAAATATTGAAAACAGGTGCAATTCACTACACTTTTGTTTATAACTATTGTAGGAGCTGCACTAAAATGGAATGTTTGACAACAGAACAACTGAGACTATACAGAAGCTAAGACTCAAGCTGAGTTTAGAAATAGATCGTTAACAGCCAGTGCCAAGGACGCCAAGCTACCCTTCAGGTCTTGGTTCTCACGCAACTCTGTGCTTCTGGTATAGATATCACAACTACTTGGCTTCTGGAATAAAAAGCAGTTGTAACCCTGTAAATCATTTTGGTTTGACCTTTTTCTTCTTTGTTGGATAGTTTGGTACATACAACATTGGGTGTTGTTATGCTACTTTGCTTTTCCCATCAAAGTAGAGAAACTTCGAAAGGTTTACTGTTTAAAATGTGTATCTTTCCATACAGAAGTTTTCCAAGGTATGGTATTTCTTATTATCTCCCTCCAGTGTAATGAACTCACTTGAAGTACCTCATGAAACGATCAGCGTTGCACAAATCAAAATTGAGCCTTCTTTGAACGCAAAAATAATTTTGACCAGTGCACCCTGGGAATTTGAAAACTTACTAAGATTTCAAATTTACCTTGTTTAAAGAACTGATTTTGAGGAAAATCTCACTTTCCAAGTAACTAAAATGAACATGAGTTAAGCATACTCCCCAGTGTGCTTTGCTTGAGAAAACAAACACTTTTTTAAGCCTCAAAACTGTAATCTACACAAGAAATTTTGAAGTTCAGAGCAAGTTGCCCATTTTGTGTAATTTGAAAGGTCACTCTAAGTCATTCTAAGGCCATTCTAGGTAGGTAGGTATTTTCCCCTGACTTTTTAAAGAGGAAAATGGTAACTCACCATCTTTTCCTATTTAATTTACCCACATTACCAGTGTTCCCGTCCCAGGACATGACCTTGTTTGCCAACACTGCAAGGCAGTTCACTAGCTTTGGGGGACCTGGTGAGTGCTCTGTCCTTCACCCACTTAACACCTCTTCATTACCAAATGTTGGCTCTGAGGGTCCTGAGCCTGGCACCAAGGATGCCACAGCGACTGTCAGCTTCTACCCCCACCGGTGGATGTGCAGGGGCAGACTGAATATAAGCCAGCAACCCTTCCTGTTTCATGGGTTTTAGGGTTTTTCAATTTTGTTTCAGCTTTTTTGTTTTTACATTCCCCACCCACCCCCCAATAATGAGGCATGTCTTATTCAATGTTATGCAATGGACTTATACAAAAATTCACTCCTAGTGTCAGCCACACAATTTTTTTTAATGCAGTATATTCACCTGTAAATAGTTTGTGTAAAATTTGACAGAAAAGTATATTTACTACACTGTAAATACATGTGATGATATATTGTATTATTTTGCTTTTTTGTAAAGCAGTTAGTTGCTGTACATGGATAACAAACAAAAATTTGATTATTCTCGTGTTAGTATTGTTAACTTCTTCCTGCGACTGCGTTACATCATTTAAAGAAAATGTTATGTATTGTAAACTTACATTGTATATGATACCTTCCTGTCCTTTCCATGAAGGCCTACACTTGGCAGTTCCCTTGTCTGCAACCTTGTTAATATTGTAAGCAGTTGTAAGCCAGCTGGAGAAACCTTGCCCGACAGACCAAGCTCTATCAATAGAGGGGGAATTGTAGAGATCCATTTCAGACCATTGTTGTTCCCGCCCTATTTTCCTCCCTGTGTATGTACCTCACCCCCTCCCTTTTTTTTTAAGTAAAATGTAAATTCAATCTGCTCTAAGATGTGGAGAGTTATTTGATTTCTTCACATGCATCAAGGTCTATTTTCTCATTTCCTCCCACTCCCCGCTGAAGTTTTGAAACTTTGAGACCTCTTCTTTTCCTTTGAGGATGCCTTTGGCTCTTCTCTACTCCCACCCCACCACTGGAAAGACCTCTCTATTTCCAGAACCTCTCTAAACTAAAAAGAATTTGGACGAAATGTGTAGGGGAGGAAAAAGTTATCCTCAACTCTCTTAGGGTCCCTGGCTGGGTCTAAAAACTAAACTTAAAAAGGTGAACAGGATTATAAAGATTAACATGTTTTATGTGATACAGGAATCTTTGTAAGGTAATGAAGACAAGAAGCAATTAATCGTGACCGGTTTTATGCTGGGCTTGATGAAGAGTGAGCAGTCTACAGAAATACGACAGGTCAGAGAGTACGGGGGAAGTGTAGTCAACTGGGTGACACTGAGCAAGGCCTGTTCCGACTGTTCTGGGTTGCCTCTGTCTTGTCCTTGGAAGGAGGATGCACCTTTCCTTCAGGTAAAGAGAGGGATCCTCACATGAGCGCTGAGGACTTGTTCGAGGGAGAAGGACAGGGGAAGGGTTAGACTTTTACTGCCATTTTCTCAGATTTCTTCAAGGCGTGTTTTTTTTTGAGTAGCATGTCTTGAGCCATCAAATGCTTTTGGGGGCCCTGTTTCTGAGGGATGGCTTTATTTTCTGGGCTGATTTTTAATTTTTTTTTTTTGAGGTAACAGTGGTTTATATAACTTTGAGGCATAGAATCATACCCTTTAGGTGTCATCATGCCACACCTGCTACCAGTACACCCATAGTTCTCCACCACTGACTTGACTTTTAGAAGGAGCAGTCATTCAGACATGCCAGCACACCCTCAAACTGACCAGTCAGAAGGCATGTGCTAGGGCCCCACAATTCTCTCCAAATTATCAGCTCTTCCCTCCACAGAATCTTCAGTGACACTGCATGTGTAGACACGAAAATGCTTTCCTATAAAAGTGGAAATTTCATCACTTTTATGTGGGACCACAATTTTAATCAATACATTTGACTTTTTTTAAGTACCTTCTAGAAACCCATTTAAACCTTGTGTGTATATAGCTATGCATACATCACATATGGGTTTGGTATTTAAAGTTACCAAAGCACCTTCATACATTTTACCCAAGTTAGGCCAAATTATCTTTTTGGTATCATACTGCAAAATATTTAGGTCCTTTACCATTTGTTTATGCTGAGAGTCAAGTTAGTAATGAAAAGGAGAATTAAGCAAGCTTGTAGAGTTAGAGAGTTCAGGACTTTCCCAGGGGGCTGCTCCTTTCATGTAAAGGAGGGAAGTCACACTGGAATCCTTTTTTTTTTTAAGATTTTATTTACACATACAAGAACTGGGGTACAGGCCAGAGGTGCAGTGGGGTGAGAGGATTTACCAGAAACAGAGTGGGGAACAGAACAGGCAGATCTACTGAAATACACTGCTGAGGGGAGCAGCAGGAGAGACAGGAGAGGTCTGCTGTGCCATGTGGATGAGCTCTCTGGCTGGGGATAGAACTCATACTGCAGTGGCTGGCAATAACTTGATAGTGCTGAGACTTCAACCTATGTGCCACCAGGCAGGCTCACACTGGAATCTTAAGTAGGTCCCTTTTCTGTGGGAAGTTCAGAGAGCATTACCTAACTTTAATATGTTTAAGGGAAGTAAAGGTCAACAGATACATTCATTTGTTCAAAGAAACATTTTCAGCTGGTTTTATTACATCAAGCCCTATGACATAGTGCATGCAAAAAAACAAAACACCTCAAGTTTGACCTCTGCTCTCTGTGAATTCATAATTTAGTGGGAGGAGCAGCTATGAAACCAATGTCCCAATATGTGGAAGGGGTTGGAGGCTCTTGCAGATCGACTGGCAGGGTTGGTGGCTGAAGGGTTGTTTTAAGAAATGAACAAGAAGTTTGTCCATGTGGAGATATAGCCATCCCGTGAGCAGTTGAAAACAGGGTTGGGGAGTCTTGAATGTATCAGAGGCCAAGGATGCCCTGGAACTGCGTGCCGGTAGTGGAGAAGTGCTTCAGCTGACAGTGGCACATTAGAAAGATTGGCTCATTCTGTTCTTAATTTCTTCTATTTTGGGGAATGCACTCTAATTTTCTATATTTAAAAAGTCCATAAAGACACACTTAACCCCAGGCTGCAAGAAACGGGCACTTGCTATATCTTGAGTCTGGCCCAAAGTGAAAGCAGGACAGGAAGACTTGATAGCAAGATATACTCCCTTAACCAACTCGGTAATTTACAACTAAAGGCAAAAAGGAATTAGATGATCTATGCCCTAAGCAAAAACTACCACCACACCCATATTCAATCTAGGTTCTTCAGGAGACCCCCCCAAAGAAAACCCAATCCTGAGTCTTAATTTGTAGCATTCATGCATGCATGCATTCATTCAGCAAACATTGGGGCCCTAATTTTCCCAGAAGAAATCAGAAATTTGGTCCTAAAATAGCTTCTCATTACAATTTTGCGCTCACCTACTCATCTCTCTCGTCAGACTTTGGGTCTACAGAGAGGGCCAGGTCTCATTCAAGGTACTCAACAGATGGTCCGTTGAGTGACACTTAGGGTCTGCAAGGGAAACATGTAAGTAGATACGATAAAGAAAAGACTCCTTTCACAACAGTGACCCCGGTACAAATCCCTGCCCAAACAGAGGTGACCTGCACAATACAGACTGTTGAAAACACTAATCAAATTCAGACTTTGAGATTTCACCTATCAGGAAAATTCCCAAAATGTATTTTGTTACTTAGGCATTTACAAAAAGAGTAATTCTAATCGCAGTCTTTTTAATTGAAAGGTTCATGTCAGCCCCAAAAGAGTAAGAAGGAAGGGAATCACAGGAAAAAGTATAGTTCTCTAAGAAGAATGGATTTAGCTTTATAAAATTTGTGTGTATGTATATGTGTGTATACATACATGCACACACACACACACACATACACCTTATTTTCCTCCTGTTGCTGCTGATTCAGCCCAAACTACTCAACAGACAGGCCTGAGAGGGGCAGAGTGAAAAGGAGAACCAAGTGATAGGGGCAGACCACGGTTCTGAGTTCTCAGAAAACACTATTGTGGAGTGCCCGTCCTTACAAATAAATGTACCGTTTCAACACAGTTTCAATCCAGATCTCCACTAGAAGAGCGTTCCCAAACAAAATGATCCTAGGGTTTACCTTATGGAATAAACAAAAAAGAAAGTAGAAACAAAAAGAGCAACGTTGGAAACTTGCCTTACTAAATAATAAAACATGTAAGCAGTAATTAGATAAACAGAATGGAAGAGGCTAAAAGGTCAGATTCATATGGTTTGAATAAAAAGAACTAATAACTCAAATTTCATTGGTTTAAAAGCCAGTTTTAACCAATTCCACTGGTTAAAATAGAAGTGTATTTCTCACTCCTGGTACATGTCCTAGCGGGACACCCAATTTCTCAGGGCCCCAGTTTCTTGGGATCAATCACCCCAGCAAATGAGTGGTCACCATGCAGAGGGAAAGAGATGCAGTGCTGCTCGGCCTCCTGGAAGGATGGAGATGTTCCATATCTGTGCTGTCCGGTGCGGTGGCTATGGCCACTCGGGGCTGCAGAGCACCTGAAATGTGTCTTGTGAGACTGAGGCACTGACATTTTAATTTTATTTAAATTAAATGTAAATAATTGCATGTGCTTAGAGGCCACAAGTTGGACAGCACAAGTCTGGAGGGTCTTGCATCAGCAATTCAAGGCTCAAGGCCAGATACGCAACCACTTCTGCTCACAGTCACTGCCTGAACTTACCACACAGCTCCACGAAAGCACAAGTTCACAAGGGTCAGCAAGACTTACGTCCAGAAGCTGGAAATGTTGGCCAAGAACACAAATGACTCCCACAGTAGGGAAGGACTTTGTAAGGCTAAAAGCAATGGAAGAAATTCTAAAGATTACACTTTGGCTGCCTAATGGCTTAAAATGTCCCCATGTCTAAAATAAGTCACGCCCAGAATTTAAAGGAAAACAGGGAAGTTGCTCTCAATAAAGAATTCATAAAAATTAATTTTAAGACCCAAGTAGGAAAAAAATGGATAAGGGGCATAAATGCCTAATCCACAGAAATTAAGTACTGTATCAGTTGCTAATTACTTTATGATAGAAAAGGTCAGCACATTCGTCAGTCAACAAAAATGCAAACCGAAACAGTGAATTACCATTTTCATCTGTTAAACGAGCAACGAGAACTCGGTGCTGGTCACAGTGAGATGCAGCAGCCCATGCACATGGCCTCGGCTCTCTGTATCTCCTTCAAAGTCTCCGCTCCATTTGCCCCAGTAATCCCCTCTCCAGAAATCTGGCCCAGAGAAATAAATAATCAGAGACCTAAGATTTGAGTCAAAGAATTATGTAGAATATTAAAACACCTGAAAACAACCTAAAATATCTACATTCACCCAGCACGTAGAGGAAGCTGACATGACTTCCTTATGCAGTTGGGTTTTTTTTTTTTTTTTTTTTTTTTATTGGTGGAGTGGGTTGGTTTTCTTCATTGAGGTAACATGGGCTTGCAACACTGTATTCGATTTAGGGAAACAGGTTCACACCTCCTCAGATATGTCACCACACCATCCCCACTTCCTTATGCAGCTTTAAAAATAGGTTTCAAGAATAGTATTTAAAACTGGGGCAAACTTCCAATAGAATCAAGGGTTTAAAAACTGTATGAGGGCCGATCTCCAATTGTGTAAAAGAAAAAAGTATATGTAGTTACATAGGAAAAAGACGAACAGGAAATGCAACCAATGTTAACAATAACTATGGCTAATTTTTGTTGTTTCATAATATTTGTCTATTTTCTAAGTTTTTTAGAATGAGCATTATTAATTTAAAAACAAAAACTGTTCTTGAGAGATGAGGATAATGCTGACCTTCAGTTGTACTAAAGAAGTATTCATATGGTGGGACTTATTCAGGTACTAAACGAACAACT